GCAGTTTAATTGATTACATCACGCATGAACACGTCCATTATGCCTCACGTTAAATGCTCAAATGATTGCGAATAAAGTCCGCCGCGTCACTTACATGTTTGGACGTGGAAGGAAAAGGGGAGATCTCCCGTGTGTTATTTCGGAACTGGTCTATATATAGCGCGTTAACTTTAGAACTTTGATAGTGTGATTTAGGCTTCGGTGCGTTTCGCTTGCAGCGCGACGACAGCGCCGCTACACGTGTTGATGGACTTCACATCTTCATTATCATCCCGTAAATAATTTTTTCTGGACTAAAGATGACAAACAGGCACAGTCCACCGGATGGTAAGTGGATGCTGTGGCCTATAGACATCTACGTCTATCTTCGATTAAGAATCAAAATGTAAGATCACCTTCGTACAAAATACCAGAGTATAATAGCAGCATAATGTTGCCGGGTAAAGTGATTAGAACAGAAGGTTAACCAACGGGACCCTATCAATAAGCCTCCGCTGTTCGTCCGTCAGTGGGCTGTATCTCATGATCCGTAATAGGTAGACAGTTGAAATTTTCACAGAATATAATTAATAGAATCAGGCGTTACTTTGCGAAAATCCATTATATAAAAGCTTTTAGAAAAATTTACTTCGCAAATATCCGCGTTATAAAATAAAATGATGTGTCTTACCTAGTATGAAGAGCACCTCCCGCCCTCCCTCAATTGCATGCACTATCCCCGTCACTACTAATCCCAGCACCACTGCTCCCAACACCACTACAATAGGAAAGACCTACCACTGACTACAATACGACACGTGTTTCGCCTCTACACGAGTCATCCTCAGGTGATATAGACTCTACGGTGGCTAACCGCTAAGATCTTAATTAGATCTTAGCGGATATTTGCGAAGTAAATTTTTCTAAAAGCTTTTTTCACAGAATGTATATTTTTGTTGCAGCTATAACAACAAATAATAATAAAAAATAAATTAGAAATTAAAGAGGGCTCTCCTAGAAGCCTGTGATGGTGACTCGCACTTGACGTTGTTTATATTAGTTCAATACATTACATGTTGGTCCTCAGGGGTGACTACGAATCCGCTTTGGGATTCTTAAATGAGGTGACAAGTATATATAGATAGTAAAGTATGGAACCGATAGTAAAACTATGGAGTAGTTACCATCATCTATTCTTGATTAAGAAGCAAAGTGCATTGTCATTTTGAGGACTAAGATGGAATGCCTCGTTTCCAGTAAAAAGGGTCTCCGGTTCTCTACACTTACCATACGAAACAATGCAGCATTAAGCTGCTATTTTACATGTGTCCTTTCCCGGTTGCGACCCATTCGTGCTACAACCATAATATAGCTGCTGTGTGGGCTCTACCACATTTAATGGCGTGAATACTCTCAGAAATAAACTTTAAGGGAAGTCTCAGTACCCTCCCCTTACTGGAACAAATCAACTACTTCAGCTCAGTTTACTGATCCGTTGGACTATGTTACTCTGGTTCTACTGGGATATCTTCATTACTCATTCTATATCTCAGAGAAACTCGGAGCGTAGTTCTATGAATTATCTTCAGAGTGACTTTGTTTGCACTCGCCAGCAGTGAAGGATGTCTCCATTCCATTGAAAATGATATTTCTAAAATATTAGTCTATATTGTTTAAAGTTGTAAACTAATTTATTTAAGTATATTTTCGATTTATCCGCCAAAAAAACACCTTACACTATTGCCATATTCATAGTATTAATAGGCTTAAATAAGAGTACAATGAATTTTATATAATTTAATAAAATAATGCAATAATACCTTTGTTTTATTTTTATCACCCGGTTAGAAAAAACCTTAAACTTTTTTAATAGAGCTCAAGTGACCAGGGCTTGGATAACGGTATATTTTTCGAAACGTTTTCGCCTTAAATACCTAAAAACTTATTTGTTTCGTTTATGTTCGAACGGAATTATAATAAAAACGTTTATGAAGAGAACGAAATTTTAAATCGTTCTTGTTCAATATAACGTTTTTAACCATTTTGAACAGTTTTTCCCATTTTTGAGCCCTGCAATACGAAACAAAAATACCTTATAGGTTTAAACTTATGGCAAGCATCATTCATTTAGCTTCCTGCGGAATAAACCTTTTTTTACGTTTTCACATTACGTTCTCATTTCGTTTTTGTTCCGAACAAAATGTTATATAAGGGACCGTCCCAAACGTTTTAAGAACGTTATTTTTAATAACGTTTCCGAGCCCTGCAAGTGACACACGAAATTATACTCCACCTGATGGCTACTGCAGCTAATGGAACTCCAAATAAACTAACCTCCTAACAAAAAAATAGACTAAGATGGAATGCTTTACATCCTGTAACTATACTTGCATACAGATCCAGGATAAGTCATCACTGGCAACACACACTGGTTGCACACTTGTTTACAACTTTTAATGGCGGCTGTACACGATCGTCTCGTCGCCTCGCATATCTCTCTTCGCGTAAAGGTTCGACATGAGACCACACCGTGTACACACTCGTATCACTTGAACTCCGGATGCCCACTGCGATGGACCTAGAAGAAACTGTTGCTGCGTTTTGCCTTTGCTATTTTTTTTTTGTTATATTTTTTTAAACATTTACAATAAAAAGAAAATTAATAAGCCATGGTGGATGGTTTCTATTCACCGTAACAGAACTACATATGTAGGTACCTATATTTTATTTAACAATATCAAACCATTATTTGATAATTTTTATAATTACCAAAACACGAACGAGTGTGTACAGGCGCGCTCTCGTTTTCATCGCGAGATACGAGACCCTTAGACTCGAGCGCAAAATATCGACACGCTTCCGAGAGCGAACGAGGGCCTCGAGACGCGACCTGTCTTGTGGTGTCTCAACGAGCGTGTACAGCCGCCATTATACCTGACGAGAAGATGTATCGTAATTTCCCGAACGCTGTCCAGCAGCGTTAAATCCGTCGATACAAGTAAATAAAATTGAAGCGCCTGTTTATAATGTCAAAATAACAGCTTTTTATATACGGTACAGCAAAAAACTATTTTTAAAACTTGTCTGTCTATCTGTTTGTTCCGGCTAATCTCCGAAATGGCTGGACCTATTTCGACTTTCACTGGCAGATAGCTGATGTTATAAAGAGTAACTTAGGCTACTTTTATTTTAGAAAAAGAATTAATGTTTCACACAAAAAATTAAAACATGAAATCAATTCGTAGTAAATTCCACGCAGACGATGTCACGGGTAACATCTAGTCTTAGCATTAAAATTCAATCCCTAAAATGGGATAGGCCAACGTCTGTGTTTGTTTCGAGCTGATTAAGTTGTTTGTAACTTGCAATTATAACAATCACAATTAGCATTTTTTATAGGATAAGGGTTACAAACGAGTACACAGTCCACTTTATGGTAAATGGTCACCGTGGCCCATAGACATCTAGATCATAGAAAAATTTTGGTATATTCTTTGCATTGTAGTATGGTGCGGATGACAGGTCGGATAGGGTGACAAACGAGCACACAGTCCACCTGATAGTAAGTGGTTGCTGTGACCCATAGACATCCACATCTATCCTCGATAAAGAATCAAAATGCAGATGCGTTGTCACCCGTGAGGACTAAGATGGAATGGGGTCTCCAGTTCTCTACACTCACAATACGAAACTCAGCAGTGTTAATCTGTTATTTTACACTGGTATTCTGTGAGAGTGTGGTCCTTCCCCAGTCGAGCCGACCCATTCATGCTACAACTATACTCCTAATATAGCTGCAGCATGGCTCTACCAAGTAAAGAAATTAACTTTCTTTTTCAGTCTCAATCTTGGCCAACAGTTCCACACAGAGCAAAGGTAGCTGTGTGGAACTGTTGGCTGTTATTATCATCAATAAACTTCCTCTATACCACAAAACAAAATTTACACTACAATATCATTCACAGAACTAGTCACATTTACCCAATAAAATTCTATCTTCATCATCATTAGCCCGTAAAAGTCCACTGCTAGACATGGGTGTCCCTTTGAAGGGAGTATTTACCTCAATTGTCACTTTTGGCAGCTAGATTAAGTGCTCTGTGCTCGATAGGCAGTTTGACGTTGCCAGTCATATTGCACTTATCACACTGCTGTCCATCACTGGTTTGGATATTTTAGATCATTCATAAGCAACTCTACGTGGTAGAGCCATGCTGCAGCTATATTATGCTTGTAGCACGAATGGGTCGGTTCGACCGGGGAAGGACTACACTCTCACAGAAAACCAGCGTAAAATAGCAGCTTAACGCTGCTGTGTTTCGTATGGTGAGTGTAGAGAACCGGAGACCCTTTTTACTGGCAAAAAGGCATTCCATCTTAGTCCTCACGGGTGACAACGCATCTACATCTTGAGTCTTTATTGAGGATAGATGTAGATGTCTATCGGTCACAGTAACCACTTACCATCAGGTGGACTGTGTGCTCGGTTGTCACCCAATCCTATAAAAAAAAAATTTAAAAAAAAAAAACAAGGTGTTCATAATTGTTCTTACTACACCTGTAAGGGTCACCCGAGACTTCAATTAAGAAACCGTGGTCTGTTAACAAGGTAATATAATGTCTGATGTTTACAATTAATATTGGCTTGTCTATCACCAGTGGGTTTTTTAGTGCAAATGGGGAACTGACGAGATCAATGTGCTGAGTGCAGGTGTTGCATTTGTTCGCCAACAACACCCAAGGACCAAATAGGGTGTTGGATTCTCCAATGCCACAACTACATAGAACTGAATGCTGTCTTCGTTATGTAATAACTTTAACTAAGTACATATTTTATAATATTAGCAACAAGTTGCAAGTTTACCTGATGTTTGTGACAAGGCAAAGTACCATCAAATAGAGAAGAAGGTACATGCACATTCAACCTTGAGTATTCAGATGTAATTGTTAATTTTAAAAGTAATGAAACAACATTTAAAAAACCTTAATTTATTATATATAATAATGACTTAAATGTACAGTTATTTTTTATTTTTGTTTTGTGGATTTCTACCCGCGTTACCGCCACCTCTGGAAAGTGGCGCCGGCCTTCCGCGATTACCAAAAGCGCCACGGCCACCTCCGCGACCTGACCTCATGTTTTGTCCGCCACCACGGCCTTTCGAGACTTCACTTCGACCTCTTGCTTTTACCTGAGTTTCTTCTTTTACCATATCTATAACCTCATCTGGTATTCTTAAATATTTTATAGTACTACCGCGTATATAACATTCTGGCATTCTCCAGAACTTATCACCGTCTCGTGACGTGCAAATTACTTCACGGAGATTTATATTCATCCAATTATCACAGCTCACGAGGTGGCCGTTATATGTTTCACCATTCTTTAACTCGACTAACATTGGATGGTTCTGGGCCGTTCGTAATAAGGATAATGGTAACATGTTACCAAAATTTTCTCAAACTACACTTATAAAACAGAAATACGTTAAAAATTTCTGTAACCCTTTTATAGTCTAACATTTATTTATTTACTTCGCTGCTCGCTGGACGCTGGTCTTCAATTCAACCAACCTTAATATAGGGATGTCATCGATGTCAAGAATAAAAATATCGATGTTTTAACATCGATGTTGCCACATGTAAAACATCAAATCATCGATGTCAATAATCCCTTAATCGATTATTGGGTACTTGCGAATCCGCGAAATCAATATCAACTAAATCTTGTATCTACTCTAAAATATTTAAAATTTTTAATAATTCAGAATGCTTGAACACATCGATAACCTAAAAATATATCATTATGGGGTATCAAATTTTGTTGGTTATCTGTTTCTTTATCGGTTGTTTTTAAAAAAAATCCGATGGTTGATCTTAAACGCAATCCAATGCACGTTTAGAACAATGTTATCGGTTCTACCTATCTAAAATTAAAAAGAAAACTTGCGGTGAGAGATTTGACCACAATTGCTACATCAGCGCCATCTAAACGGTTATCTACCGACTTCAAAAAGGAGAAGGTACTCAATTCCACTGCATGTTCTTTTTTAAATATGTGTTGCCTCATAACTTTTTTCTGGGTGAACCGATTTCGATGATTCTGTTTTTTTATTTGAAATTTGGTGCTTCACATGTGGTCACATATAAATTAGACCCATATAAGTCTGACCAATAGTTTTTGAGTTATCAAAATTTTATTTTTAAATTATTTTCAATATCTGGCTCAACTCTTTAGCAACAAAGAAACAGATTAAAAGGTACTTCTTTGTCAAAATTACTATTTTTTCAATCAAACGGCAAAAATATTGGACAATATAACAAATGAATTAGATAATGACGGCAACAGCTGCCGCTTGGCTCTACCACTTTTTATAGTGGTAGAGCTAAGCGGCAGCTGTTGCTGTCGCACGGATGGGCCGGCTCGAACTGGGGTGGTACCACGACCTCACAGAAAACCAGCGTGAAGTAGAGGTTTACCTCTGCGTTTCGCTTGGTGAGTGCAGGTGGCCGGAGGCCCTTTTTACTGGAAATGAGGCATTCCATCTTAGTCCTCACGGGTGACAACGCATCTACATTTTGATTTGTAATAGAGGATAGATGTAGATGTCTATGGGCCGCAGCAACCACTTACCATCAGGTGGACTGTGTGCTCGTTTGTCACCCTTATCCTATAAAAAAAAAATAAAAAAAAGATAATTGTGAACTTCTTCCAATTTTTTTTAATTACTGTTTTATACTACATTGTTTATTAATTTCTTATATTTCATTAATTATAAACCATAAACAACATGACATTTTTTTATTCATCTAATTAAATACATGTGCATAAAAACATCGATGTTTTGAGTAGGATAACCATCGAACATCGATGTTGAGCTGTCGATGTCAACATCGACAACATCGATCATCCCTACTTTAATAATGACAGCAGTTGACAGTTGTTATGGCAATGACCATAGAGTAGAGTAACAATGACAACACAACTTAATTTTTTGCTCTATTCTTTGACAAAGGACATTGGCGAACGTAGATGGAGGATGGACGAATGTTGAAGAGTATAGAATAAATAAACCACTACAGCTAAGTAACTACTGGAATATCGATTAGTAGATTAGTGATTCAGTTTTTATCGAACGTTGTAAAAATGTACATACTACAAATATTCCCTTAGTTATATTTATTTTTGCATTCCCACATTGCTTATTACGGCATAAGCGCATATATCTATTACGCAGTAACACGTCAGCTTGCGTCAATTTATGGCAGTATCGATATCAGCAGAAACTACCAGGACATTTTAGCTGAATTCCCCGGTATAATACGGATAACTTCAATGCACCTGAAACCGAAAATGAATGTCGAACTTTTTATTTAAACACAAGATCAACATATACACTGCAGAGCTCGACTCATTCCATCGCATCGATACGTAATAGTGAAAAAAGAATTCGAAAACATGATTCAACAAGGATTACGCAGACCCAGCAAGAGTTCATGGTCATCGCCGCTACATATAGTACCGAAAAAGTACGGCGACGTACGTGTATGTGGCGATTATCGCAGACTCAACGCGATAGCAATAGCCGAACGCTACCCCGTCCCGCGATTGAAGGACTTTACGTATCATCTGTCAGGCAAAACAATATTCTCAACTATACAGTTGAGAAACCGTCCATATCAACAAATCAACGTAAGGCCAGATTTCGTAGTTGCCCGTCACAATACGTGAGCTTTCTTGATAATGAGCTGTCTCATCAGCAACGCAAAGTCAGGAAATTACATTTCGAAAAAGCCAGAATTATATATTAATACGTATTAATACATATAAGTAGTTTTCTTCGTAAAATGTTTATTTTTAACAGTTTGCAATAACATTACACAGTTATAATGCAGGTCGTTTTAGGTCATTTTCTATGGAGTATTAAAATATTTTACTAATCCAAGTGCATTTTATATGTTTGTCGACTATTACTAGTTAACTTTTTAATTATACTTACTTGTGATAGTTTATCTTTTAACTTTATTTGGAAGTAGAATACTAGAAATGAGTTGGGGTTGACTCGAACTTTAGGAATAGTCAGTTTGAATAGCCTACCATGTAGAAGATGTCATGGTGGTCACAAAAAGTTCTCATTACACTCCTAAGGGGTCAAAATGGCCAAAATCAAAAATTAAGAATTCTTATTTCGGCTATAACGCCGCCTCCTTCGAAGGTTCTTACACAGTCTTTACTTCCCACATCCCACTTTTTATATATACTACCATTTTGTATACTTTTAACAGTGGTAGAGCCACACGGCAGCTTTTGCTGTCGCACGAATGGGCCGGCTCGAACCGGGGTGGTACCACGACCTCACAGAATACCAGCGTGAACTATAAGTTTGCTTCTGCATTTCGCCTGGTGAGTGCAGGTGGCTGGAATCCCAATCTCCCCCCCCCCCCAAATTAACATGGTGGCGGAATAAAAAGAAACACTACCCCAGGAGGGTAACGGCATCCCTGGAGAATCCCTCGCTGGGCATCCACGCCCAAGCTACCCTACTTTTTCTGAGTGTGGGTGTTCAGGCTGCCCTGCGTATTCTCGGGGGGGGGGGGGGGGGGGGGGCGAAATTCCACTCAAGACGCTAAGACCTGCGAGCAAGAAGACAAAGGCAACCCCTGCCACGCTTTCCGTAAATTTCTGCAATATCAGAGGACTTCATTCAAAACTTAACGCCGTCCACTACCATCTGGAGTTAGCAAAGCCCGCCTTGCTCTTTCTAACCGAGACACAGGTGTCCTCTCCGGCTGATACTTCGTATCTCTCCTACCCGGGGTACAAATTAGAACACTCGTTTATGCCCCGGGCTGGAGTTTGCGTGTACTTCAGAGAGGACATCTGTTTTCGACGCCTCGGCAGTCTTGAAGGGAAGCGACGACCATCCCCGCGTCTACGGGTGCCTCTATAGGTCCCATAGCGGTAATGCTAACACAGACCAACTCATCCACCACGTTCAAATGGCTGCAGACTCCGTACTACTACAGGTCCCATCCGCAGAGATCGTGATACTCGGTGATTTTAACACCCACCACGCTAAGTGGCTCGGTTCCCGTTTAACCGATCATGCGGGTAGATCTGTCTATGACTATGCCTTGGTATATGGTCTAACACAAGTGGTTACTTCGCCTACGCGGATCCCAGATGTGGAGGATCATATGCCTTCCCTGTTGGACCTTCTGCTGACCTCTCATCCGGACGGATATCAGGTCTCCGTCGATGCCCCTCTGGGCTCTTCGGACCATTGTCTGATCCGAAGTACGATGCCACTCACGCTCCCATCGCAGTTGTGATCTGCAGCTTGCCGCCGTGTTTGGCACTATAGGTCGGCCGATTGGGACGGGATGCGGTCTTTTTTTGCATCCTACCCTTGGGGGCGGGTTTGCTTCTTGCCGGATGATTCCAACGTTGTTGCTAATTCTGTCTGGAATGAAATGAATGAATGAAAAATAACAGAACTCAAAAAGTCGTGATCAATGGTAAAGGTTCCTCCGGATCAATAGTATCAATGGGCGTTCCTCAGGGCTCGATTCTTGGCCCATTCCTGTTTTTAATCTATATTAATGATTTACCTTATCTTATAGGGGACAATCACGATATAGTATTATTTGCTGACGATACCTCTTTAATTTTCAATCTCAAACGGCAGGTAATTAATTATGACGATGTAAACAATGCTCTATCGAAATAGGTACATTGGTTTAACGCCAACAATATGCTCTTAAACAGCAATAAGACAAAGTGTATTAAATTTACAATACCTAATGTAAAACATTTGAAAACCAATGTGCTCTTAAATGGGGAGGAGTTGAGTCTTGTGGATATCACTGTTTTTCTTGGTATTACTATTGACGCGAAACTTCAATGGGGCCCCTATATATCTAAATTAGCAAGCAGACTTAGTCCCTCAGAGAAAAATTTAAAGAAATAAACATATTAACTTTGGCATCGCAATATATTTATGAGAATGTAATGTATGTGCATAAAAACATAAATAGCTTTAATAAGAATAAGGATGTGTATACTTTAAGCACTAGGAACAAACATAAGCTTGTAATGCCAGTTACTAGACTCCACAGAATCAGTAATTCATTAATGGGACAATGTATACGCTTTTACAACAAAATCCCAGAACATATTCAAAGTTTGTCAATAAACAAGTTTAAAAGTTTTATTAAAGAAAAACTGTACAAAAAGGGTTATTATAATATCAAGGAATATATGAATGAAAATAACCCCTGGGAATAAGGTGATCGCCGCCATGCTGGTTCTATGAAAAATCATTTAAAAATTGTATAAACGAAGATATTGTTAAGTGAAATATGTTTGAAAAAAAAAGTCCCGCTGGGTTTCTTGCTGGTTCTTCCCAGGACTGCAGTGTTTTCCGAACCAGTGGTAAATAAA